GCAGGGGCTAGTAAGGGCTAGCAGATGGATGGAAACTTCGTGGTTAACGTCGTAACCACATCAGACGATTTCGTCGGCAGACCAGTCGTGTAGGATCGGCGGGGCTCCGTGTCAACACTAGGTGGTCCCGTCCGGTTGACAAAGAGGTAGATAGCCGGGAGATGGGCCTAGCTCGGGATGATTAGCCAGACCACAGCGTCCGTTTTGTTGTAGCCAGCTGGTAGCGATGAATCCGGAGTTAAAGGTCCAGTGATTCAGTGATTCCGGCGGAAAAACTGATATGTTCTGGGTCGATAACGCGCTGTGCAGACTGGCCGAATATCCGGTGATCAATGTTCAGTGATTAAAATTAATCCCGCGGAAAAAAATCCAAGGTTCTGGGTGAAACACCGCTGGCTGTGGCTAATAGCAAGTAGCTAGTTCAGTAGCTAGTTCAGTTTAGTGAGTAAGAGGCCACGAATAGCGTGTGCTAGCGGGCCAGGGGCTAGCAGATGGATGGAATCTTCGTGGTTAACGTCGTAACCACATCAGACGATTTCGTCGGCAGACCAGTCGTGTAGGATCGGCGGGGCTCCGTGTCAACACTAGGTGGTCCCGTCCGGTTGACAAAGAGGTAGATAGCCGGGAGATGGGCCTAGCTCGGGATGATTAGCCAGACCACAGCGTCCGTTTTGTTGTAGCCAGCTGGTAGCGATGAATCCGGAGTTAAAGGTCCAGTGATTCAGTGATTCCGGCGGAAAAACTGATATGTTCTGGGTCGATAACGCGCTGTGCAGACTGGCCGAATATCAGGTGATCAATGTCCAGTGATTAAAATTAATCCCGCGGAAAAAATCCAATGTTCTGAGTGAAACACCGCTAGCTGTGGCTAATAGCAAGTAGCTAGTTAGCTGAAACTGGCTAGCTAGTTTCAACTGGAGATTCTAGATTCTAGACAAAGGTAAGTCAACAATAGAATCCGTTCCACATTGAGTGAGGCGGGTTGCAGGAAAGTATATTTTCTAGAAGGATGAAAAGTCTGATAGGGAAACATGTACGAAAAATACAAAAAAACAGGGTATTTACAGGCTATTTACAGACACACGACAGCACTACTTCGCCATCTTGGAATTAAAGTCCCCGGCCATTAGGAGCACCCTTTGAGAATGAGCATTTTCTTGTTTGGCTTATGGCCTTATACATCTCGTGTGAGTGCGGTCTTAGTGCCAGCATCGTTTGTGGTGGTAAATCGAAGACGGCTACGGATATATAGTTGAGATCAAAGAGATTGAACTAGTAAGTAGAACAAGTGGCAGGGAAACGGTGGTGTGTTCATTCAATCCCAGGATTACACTAACTACGTTCTTAATTCAATGGTACTAACTACATACACTACTTCTTTAATTCAACGACACAACCACACTAACTTCATACAACTACTTCTTTAAATTCAACAAACACACCACACTACTCAAACACAAAAATTTCAACAACACAACCACCCAAATTCCCTACCTTTTTTTTAATTAAAAAACCAAACCAACACACATTTCTTTAATTCAAAAAACACCCACCAAAACCAACACATTTATTTAAAAAAAAAAAAACAACCACTTTACACTTTTTTAAAATTCTTTTTAATTTTATTTCTTTTAGCGGGACGTTTCTTATCCAGAGCGACTTAATTTAGTAAATACATTATTATTTTTTTTTTTTTTAAAGGGCCCCCCCGTGGGAATAAAAACCCAAAACCCTGGCTTTGCAAACGCCATGCTCACCCAACTGAGCTACCCCCCTGCCGGCCACCCTCCCCTACCCGGGAAAATTTGTGCGCCCCCCAGAGTCCCCGGTCGGGGGCCGGCTGGGGACAGGCGGATTGAACCGGGGGATCTCTGTAAAAAGGGTTAGCACTGCGATGCGGGGTTTTTAAAGGGAACCCAAAACCCAACCCCCCTTCGGGAAACAAAACCCCATTCAACAACACAACCACACTAACTTCATACACTACTTATTTAATTCAACAACACAACCACACTAACTTCATACACTACTTCTTTAATTCAACAACACAACCACACTAACTACATACACTACTTCTTTAATTCAACAACACAGCCACACTAACTTCACACAATAGGGTTCTTTCTCAGTCGTCTAAAAATGTTTCCTCTCCTTCACTGATCTGAAAGAAGTGACCAGGTGAAAGCTAAGCCAGTCTAATGATGAGCTTCCTTCCACCATATTGTTTTCACCTGTGAAGTATTTTCCAAGCAGTTGAATGGGAGAGAGGGATTTTTAAGTCAATTGGTCTTGGTTACAGATACGCCATATCCACACCGCCATCTATTGGTCGATTCTGGTATTTACGATCACCAGGGACCGAATAATGTATCAAGCATCTCAGAGTAACATAGCTGATTTAGGATCAGTTTAGCCTTTTAGATCACATTGAATAAGACTACATGGACAGGGAGGACATATACACATTGTGTGCCTTTATTTGTCTTATTAAAAATAATTGCTGATTAAAAAGGTCTACAACAGATTCCAAGTGAACAAGCAATACTGGTGTTCTATTGATGGACAGTATTTCTCATGACACCAAATAATGTTTTGAACCGAATAATGATTTTAAACTGTATAATGATTTTAAACCAAATAATGTTTTTAACCAATAGTGTTTTTAACCAAATAATGTTTTTAAATGATTGGTTTTTATTCATTATCCTCTAGTATCAAGATAATACAAAATGGAAAGTTTTTTAAAACTTTCAATGTCAACTACATCCATCATTTCACAATATGTCTACAAACTACAGTTTACTGTATGTGTGTGTTCACTGCAAATGAAAAATAACATTTGTAAGAGATCATAAACAATATCAATATTTGTTCGATACAACTCAACTTTTTTTTTGTCTTCATCATGGTGATAGTTTTGCCAACTGAAAGCCATTTCCTGCAGGCTCTAGAGAGTTCAATCTCATATCATTTTATCATCAAACATCAAACATCAAAATACAAAAAGAAAAACACCATCATCATATCCCTCATTTATCATCAACAACCAAACAAAAAAAAAGAAAATCATAAACATCAAAAAATTTCATCAACGCCAAAAATTTTTTAACACCATTATCAAAAAAAACATTTATTTTCAAAAAATGCAAAAAAAAAAAAGTATCAGCATCTCAATTTCCATCGTAATCATTTTGCATCCGAAAAAACCCCAAACCCCAAAGCAATAAAAATACTATACATCAAAACATAAAGGGAAAAGGGATTAATGAGGGTTTCATTTTGATGGTTTACTGAAACAGTACCTCCAAAAAATAATATTTTATATCAAGAAAAACTGAAGGGATTAAAGAATTACATTATCATGTTTACTGGGGAGTTTCCTCAAAAAATTTCTATTTTATCAAGCAAATGAAGGGGTATTAAAAGAAGTTTCTTACTCATGTTTTTCCCGAAGCAGTACCTCAAAACATACTAATATATCAAGCATAAAACTGAAGAGTATTAAATGAAGTTACATTTACTTCAGTTCACTGAGCAGTACCTCAAACATGACTATATAAATTCAAGCATAAACTAGAAGAAGTATAATTGAAGTTACATACTCTTGGTCACTGAGCAGATAACTCAAAACATACTAGATATATCAAGCATAACTGAAGAGTATTAATGGAAGTTACATTTACTCATGTTCACTGGCAGTACCTCAAAACATTACTATATACATCAAAGCCTAACTGAAGGTATAATGGAAGGTTACATTACTCATGTTCACTGAGCAGTACCTCAAAACCATACTATATACATCAAGCATAACTGAAGAGTATTAATGAAGTTACATTACTCATGTTCACTGAGCAGTACCTCAAAACATACTATTTATATCAAGCATAACTGAAGAGTATTAATGAAGTTACATTACTGATGTTCACTGAGCAGTACCTCAAAACATACTATATACATTAAGCATACCTGAAGAGTATTAATGAAGTTACATTACTGATGGTCACTGATTATGAATTACACTTGATCCAAACTAATGTGTTCAAAGCAATGAAGTCATTGAACAAATCACTATTTGAATGTGTGATCAATTAAAAACATTATCTTTTAAGTCTACTTAGTCATTCTTATTGAAGTAAATTAATTGAAAGACATACATGTGTAATGCCTGTATATGAAACAACATATGCATATTCTCTAAATAAAGAATTACATTAAGATTAAAAAGTAAAAGCCAAACAACATGCATATTTCCTAAATAAAGAATTACATTAAGATTAAAAAGTAAAAGCCAACTGTTTCCCACTGTACCATGCCAACTGTTTCCCACTGTACCATGCCAACTGTTTCCCACTGTACCATGCCAACTGTTTCCCACTGTACCATGCCAACTGTTTTCCACTGTACAATGCCAACTGTTTCCCACTGTACCATGCAGCCCTTCATAATCTGTGATTAAGGCATATGAAGCCATAGGTTAGATGGTAAGTAAATGAGAGAATAATAATTTTTATAATTGAAACTAAATGAACAATGTCAGACTAGATCCTTATTTACCTGTGTATTGTGTTTATCTATGGACATTATCAAGTCAAACACTCTGAATCTGTTGGTTAACCTGTTGATGTTGATGTTGTCTTTTCTTATTTGTAGGATTTCTGAATTAATTTGCTGATGTACTTTATGATTCGAATATTGTATTCCTTTCACATAAAATTCAACGTGTTCGCTATTTCATTATGGAACATCAGATCTGTAAATTGCTAAGAGGTCATATTGTTTATGAATGTATTTGCAAGTATTACTTTCTGTGATCCAGTTGTGTATTTCCAGATCTGCACATTATTTCAACAACTTGTGTGGGCGACTGGATCCTTATATTTTGATTCTGTGATATATCCATGTAATGAGAGTTATTTCTGGTTGTCAAGTCTTTGAATGTTCAATTATATGTTAACATGTTGGTCAACAAGAGTCATTATCTACAGTAGTACTCCACTTTATGTCATGTGGAAAGACTCTTTCAAGCTCTTCATTGCATCATCAGGTGTTAATGCCTTCCAGTCCTCTGGGATATCAGCAGGGAGTGCCTTTCTGTCTTTAGCGATTCTCTCAATGAATGTGGCCATCACATACTTCCAGTAGTCTGAAGCCTTGATGCTGGAATCTCCAATTATGATCCAGTCAGGGTAATATTTCTGGTAGTCCTTGAAGGGATGACCTTTCTCTCCCGTTAGAGTGTTGATGAATGTTAAATTACTGGTCACATCAGAGGAACATATGTTAATTACTAATTTATTTGAAGGTATGAACTTTACACCATTTAGACCTTGTGGACGATGAATAGATGAAAAGTGTTTGGCATGCTCGTTCCCCCCTGCTTCACAGGGTACACCGCAGAAAGGACATTGCTTGCCACAGCCAAACAGACTGGTGAACATCTTGTCCTGAGGCTTGAATGGCAGAGATTTGAGTCTCTCTTTGATGTCTCGTACCGTGTCATACTTAGTTCCTCTTCCCTTCTCATACTCTGATGCCAGGGACTGCTCCATTTTTCTCACAGAATCTATGAGGAAGTTAGAAAACTGTTCTGTGTTTGCAGGTTTCAGAATCATGATGGAATCCAGAGCATCCTTCAGAGATAGCTTGTCTTCAAGGACACTACAGATGTTCTGAATGAAGGTCTTGACATCACTTTCATTTTTGGTGCAAGTTGTTTTTCTGATTTTAGAAATCGCATCAGTAATTGCATTGACTATCTCTGTAAGATGTTTATTTTCCAATTCTGCCAGACGTCTCTCAGACAGTTGTTCGACAATTTGGTCTAATAGCAACTTCTTCACAAACCTTTCATAATGAATCATGTACTCTCTATAATTCTCATATTCTCCATCAAACAGGAGCTGTTTCAAAATGGAGAACTGGAAGGCCGTCCGTGTGCTGTAATCCTGTGATCCTTTACCTGTCTTCATTTCATCAACTACATCAGGACCAATCATTTTGGTCACATAGTCCTGTACAGCTGGCTGTACGAGCTTTGAGAACTCCTCAGCTTTCTTTTGGCACTGGTCTTGGTTATGAAACAAGTCTATGAACTCAGTAAGGTACTTGCTCTTAGACGGTTCCAGACACTTCCTTGGATCATTGACTGCAATGAAATCATCATGCATCTTCTGAAACTCTCTGGTTGCTATGCCAAAGATGTGCAGCTTCAGTGATACCTCACATTCCTCGCTGACGTTAGCGGTCTCGTGTTGTTTCAGTGTTTCATCAATCCTGTTCAGCAGGTCTTTGATGTAAGTGTCATGATAATCTGATTGTCCTTTAACCTTCTCTTTTATAAACTCCTGACACTGTGTTATGATGTCGTCACAGAAGACTTGTAGTTTCTTCCTGTGATGGTCATGATCCAAGTGCTTTGCTAGGCCTGTAGCCTTCCGCCACCAATCAACTGGTTCCACAACAAAGACGGTCTTTCCACAATCCACCAGGTTTCCATCCAACATACTTTTAACATGACTCCCTCTTCTTGACAAATGTTTACTTAACACGTGGAAGGCATCGTGAGCCACAGCTTGTCTTGGGAGACCTTTGAAGTTGATCTCAGACAGAGTTTCCTCCCACATTCTTTCAAACTCTTCTCTGAGGGCCTGATCTGATAAATCAGTATTTTTCTGTCTACAGTCTTGCAGCAAAGCCAGCACCTTCTTCTCCATCGTCTTTTCTTGTGAACTCTTAATGTCATCCACTTTAACCTTTCCTTCTTTGATCTCAACAGCTCCATGTAGAGTGTTCCTCACTGTGTTTTCTGTCTCTCGTCTCAGCATTGTGGCACTGGATTTAAAACCCTCCTTGTATCTTTCCACCAGATTGACATGGTCATCCTGCTTTTCAAAGTATTTCACCAGATTGTCTTGGATCTTCATTTCCCCTACTTCCAGGTTTTCATTTGCTTCCCTCATCAAGACCTTCAGCAGATCTCTTACTGTGGACATTGTGGGATTTAGACCTGTCATGCCAAAATTTGAAATTTTGTTTTCGGCACCGAACATCCAGGATTCCATCTCCTTCTGAAATGCCCACTCCCAACCATTGTACTCAGTGCACAATTTGGAGTATGCATCCGCAACCAAGCTGTTTTTGAAACTGAAGATGAAGTTCTCAAATTTAACAGACTCCCACAAGCTTTTTGTCCACTTCATGAAATGTGTCAAATCATCATTTTTCTGGAATTTAAAAAAATCTTCCATCAAGCTCTTCTTGAAGTTGTACACAGCCTCACTGTAGCCTGCGTTGACTGGAGCCATCGGGGGAGTCCCATGCCAGAGTCCTGGGATGTAGCAGCTGCTTGTGTCTGGATCATACTCCATCACGTCAGTGAACTTGGTGATATTCTCCTTCTTCTCCATTCTGGCTGCTGCCAGGGTCATTTCATTCAACTGTTCCAACAACTTCTTCCTGTCCCTCATGTTGTTGTCATGAGCAGACATGTCTGACACATTCTGGTGCAGGAAATGACATACTGGCTTCTTCCCCACTTCCTTCATCCTGATAAAAGCATGAACAACAATCTGCAGAATGTCTTTCATCTCTGTGGAGTTCTCCATGGCGATGTTGATAATCGTAACATCACTGAGTCCTATCACCAGTGTGGCCAATTCATTGTCATGTTCATAGCTATCATCTAGTTGAGCCAGCTCTGGTGATTTCAACCCCTCTGTGTCAATGATCATGATGAAGTCACATTTCAGTTCCTCCTTGAGTTCTTTGTTGACTTTAATCAGTAGCATGAAGGCCCCTCTGGTGCATCTTCCACTGCTGACAGCAAACTGGACCCCAAACATGGTGTTGAGGAGAGTGGACTTCCCAGTGCTTTGGACCCCTAAAACTGTCACAACCCGGATCTTGCTGTTAGAGTCCACAAGAGTATGAAGCTGAGTCAGTACAGCTGATATCCATTTCAAAGGGATATTTGATGCATCCCCATCCACAAGCTCAATGGGGAAACCATCCAACAGCATCTGAGCACACAATCCAGGTAGATGCTCCATCTGTTTCCTTTGTAGGCTACTTTCAGGGAGGGAGCAGGAAGCTTCATATAACTGGCCCAACTCACGAAGAAAGTGTTCAAGACCTAATGAACAGTCAGATAATTGCTTATCCAAATTTTTTATGTCGTCTTTTTTCTCCGGAGAATATTGGCAAAGATCTTTGTACTGGTCCCGCAAACCAGACAGGTTCTGACGTGACAGATTGTCCAGATTTATGCGCATCCATTTGAGGAAATAGGATCGCTCAGGTCCTGATCTTGACATTCCTAACATAAAGTTTGCCATTGCATCTGACATGTCAAATGTATGTTGTTTCTCTCTCAGCTCTTCCTCCTTTCTCTTCAGAGAGCTCTTGTAGTGTTCAATGTTTTGATCCCCTTGTTTTCTCAGCCTACATCTCTCTTTCTCCAACTGGGAAAGCTCTTTCCAGATTTGCCCTTGTAAGGGTAGCTGTTTGTCTTTGAATTTAATTGTGTCTTTGTGAATTTAATTGTGTCTTTGATGTTAATGGTGATTTCATCTGCCATCTTCCTGGCACTCTGACACTCATCACTGTCTTCATCAACCAGAATCTTACTCTGACGAGCCACGTCAGCCATGTTTTCAATTGTCAATCGGTTTATACTTTTTTCCACGATGTCACCCACCGAGGACTGAAGGGTCTTGACAAATTCTGCATCATTCTGCTTCTTCTTCACAATCACATTTTTTTCTTTGATCCTGCAGTTTGTGATAATTTTTTTCAATGTGTCTACTCTGAATGTTTTTCTTTGAGAGTTGACGACCAGAAATAACTCTGCCTTTGTGTCTTTGGTTTTCAACAACTTGAGATCTGTCTTTAAATCATCAGTGAAAATGTAAACTGCAGCTGATGTTTGACACAGAAAGGAGAACTGTTTTTCAAAAGACCTGATGTCTCCTCTGAGATTGGCCACAGCGACAGGTTCTTTGAACATGTCTATATTTCTGTTCCCACATGGAAAGTACCAGCTGATTTCAACTAGACCATCTGAAATCCACTGAGGTACATTGCCACATTCCATATCATGATGAACAAATGTATCATGGTACTGTTGAGGGTTACTAAGCAACTTGTTCAAAATCTGAGACTTGGACAAGCTGCTCTCTCCTAGCCTAACAAAAGACACCATAGGAATATCAGAGAGAACTATTCTCTCCTCCACAAAAGCTTTTTTGGCTGTTTGGGAAGAGGGTCTAAACTTCTTCACTATGTCCCTCAGGGCCCACAGCATCAACGTGCTTTGTTCTGTGTCACAGTTTGGCAGCAGGAGAGGAACAGCAAACTGACACATGGACATTTTCTGGACCATCTCCTGCTGCAGGAAACTATCTGAGCACAGAAACAGGGCTGTAATCAGGTCCAGTGGATTAATTACATTGCTGCTATCAGAGTCAGTGTCCTGGTTGTCTACTCCATAATATGGAACTTCCTGGTCAGTGGACATACATTTGACACTCCTAGCATTTACATTTGCCATCATTAATTTCTTAAGAAAGGCCCCTGGAAGTGACTGCATAGTGGTAAGTGGTTCATCTGATGTAGTATTATCATTTATCTCAAGGACAGTACTTAACGTCAGTTTGTTTTCATAATGATCTTTTAGTCCAGCCTTTGACAACAGCTCCATGAAACAAGATCCTGTAAATAGAAATAAAAAAGCTGCCATGATTACAAATACCCTTTTCCACAGCCATTAGCAGAATAGTACACCAACAGGTGTTTTACACAGTATTTAGAGCAGGGATGGGCAACTTTAGGTGGGGGCCACAAAAAAATCACAACTCATCATGAGGGGCCACAGTTGCTCGCAGGTTGCCCATCCCTGATTTAGAGTAAAGTTCAGTAAAGTAAGCCGAGTCAGACCAATTCCTTGACACAATGAGTCACAGGAATTCTGGCATGTAATTAACACAGAAGTAATTTAAGGGCGGTATAGTGAGATAAGATATGGTAAGGCAATTGCAATTCTGATGCTCTGGTAAAATGTCTACTGCAATGCAAATGAGAGATCCAATCAATGGAGAAATGGTAAACTAAAGAGCAACAGTCAGAGCATTACTATAATTATTACACCATCCACCTTATACAGCCTGGCAACAAGAATGCATCCAATTTGTTACGGTTGTCTTCCAACTTCAGGCGCAATGACACTCAGCTGGTGATGTCGATAAATCTAAATGATTAAATAATGAGGTGTAAGGGAGATGGCATGAAGAGCTTTTAAACAGGAGACAATACCTTTGCTTGTTTCCCTGTTTTTTCCTGAAGAACCATCCTTCTCTGGTTTTGACTTAGTGGCTTTTGGTGAAACCTGTTGGACCTTTTCTGATTTCTGTCAAAAAGGTTAGATGTGTGTTAACTTATTTAAATTCAAGATGACATTGAATCTACAATTCCAGGTATTTTTTAGAATAAAACACTATAGTTTCCATGTAGTACTCTGGATGGGGTTTTGGGTAAATAATAGATCAAAACATTAATGATTTCACTAGATCCACACAGTTACAATGAACCCTTCATTGATGTTCGTAGTGTATGTTCAAAATGTATATTTCACAAGTGACTGACTCGTTCTACACCATATACTACCATTCTGCCTAATATTTATTATAATATTATTATCAGCATGTTAATCATTATAGGTATCAGCATGTCTTATCAATTACTATCATACCCTAATTATGAGTACCTTTTTAATCACGTCTGCTGTTTGACATTTACAATGATGGACATTCACTTGGTTCTTTCCATTCTCACGTGTGAATTCAATTGAATTGCATGAATTTGTCGCTTTTTATACATGGTGTGTTGTGCTTCCGCAGATTGGCACGGACTAAATTACTGTGGGGAAAACTGTTGCCAATCCCTACCACCTCTTCACTCCCTGAACTGATTACAAAACATGCCCCAGAACTATTAAGAAAAGGGAACGTGAACTTGCCTTGGACAAGCCTCTCCACCCGGCATTTCTCCACGGAGGGACCTCTGCCTTGCTGCTTCTCCCCACTGCTAGCCTGCTGCTGCGGGGAAAAACACCATGACAACGCTTGCTACAGCACTACTAAAGGAAAGCATTTATTCCTAACGTGTGAGTGAGGCTCCCATTGTTGATCAGTATACACACTACTAGTTTGAATTAAAGCCACAGCACAGCTGAGAAGCTCCCCAACACTACAACTCAGCCGGCACAGAGTGATGGACCACCCTGCAGACGGCCAACGACTAGAGAGAGGACTGGCAGAACACTCACAAAGGCACTATCTAAACAAAGGAATGTGCTTGTTCCGGTGTATGAGTGAGTCTCTACATCATTGATCAGTACAGCCTCTCATTGTGCTTTTTGTGTTCCCAATCCCTTCACAAATTTTTTTTTTATCAGCATATGCCAGCACAAACATACAGTGAGGGAAAAAAGTATTTGATCCCAAGCTGATTTTGTATGTTTGCCCACTGACTGAATAAATTATCAGTCTATAATTTTAATGGTAGGTTTATTTGAACAGTGAGAGACAGAATAACAACAACAAAAAACCAGAAAAACGCATGTTAAAAATGTTGAAATTGATTTGCATTTCAATGAGGGAAATAAGTATTTGACCCCCTCTCAATCAGAAAGATTTCTGTCTCCCAGGTGTCTTTTATACAGGTAACGATCTGAGATTAGGAGCACACTCTTAAAGGGAGTGCTCCTAATCTCAGCTTTTTACCTGTATAAAAGACACCTGTCAACAGAAGCAATCAATCAATCAGATGCCAAACTCTCCACCATGACCAAGACCAAAGAGCTCTCCAAGGATGTCAGGGACAAGATTGTAGACCTACACAAGGCTGGAATGGGCTACAAGACCATCGCCAAGCAGCTTGGTGAGAAGTTGACAACAGTTGGTGCGATTATTCGCAAATAGAAGAAACACAAAATAACTGTCAATTTCCCTCGGCCTGGGGCTCCATGCAAGATCTCACCTCGTGGAGTTGCAATGATCATGAGAGCGGTGAGGAATCAACCCAGAACTACACGGGATGATCTTGTCAATGATCTCAAGGCAGCTGGGACCATAATCACCAAGAAAACAATTGGTAACACACTACGCCGTGAAGGACTGAAATCCTGCAGCGCCCGCAAGGTCCCCCTGCTCAAGAAAGTTCATATACAGGCCCATCTGAAGTTTGCCAATGAACATCTGAATGATTCAGAGGAGAACTAGGTGAAAGTGTTATGGTCAGATGAGACCAAAATGGAGCTCTTTGGCATCAACTCAACTCACCGTGTTTGGAGGAGGAGGAATTCTGCCAATGACCCCAAGAACACCATCCCCACTGTCAAACATGGAGGTGGAAACATTATGCTTTGGGGGTGTTTTTCTGCTAAGGGGACAGGACAACTTCACTGCATCAAAGGGACGATGGACGGGGCCATGTACCGTCAAATCTTAGGTGAGAACCTCCTTCCCTCAGCCAGGGCATTGAAAATGGGTCGTGGATAGGTATTCCAGCATGACAATGACCCAAAACACACGGCCAAGGCAACAAAGGAGTGGCTCAAGAAGAAGCACATTAAGGTCCTGGAGTGGCCTAGCCAGTCTCCAGACCTTAATCCCATAGAAAATCTGTGGAGGGAGCTGAAGGTTCGAGTTGCCAAACGTCAGCCTCGAAACCTTAATGACTTGGAGAAGATCTGCAAAGAGTGGGACAAAATCCCTCCTGAGATGTGTGCAAACCTGGTGGCCAACTACAAGAAACGTCTGACCTCTGTGATTGCCAACAAGGGTTTTGCCACCAAGTACTAAGTAATGTTTTGCAGAAGGGTCAAATACTTATTTCCCTCATTAAAATCTAAATCAATTTATAACATTTTTGACATGCATTTTTCAGGATTTTTTTGTTGTTATTCTGTCTCTCACTGTTCAAATAAACCTACCATTAAAATTATAGACTGGTCATGTCTTTGTCAGTGGGCAAACGTACAAAATCAGCAGGG